TAAGATATTTTAACAGACAATGCAAAAGTTCTGATATTGTTAGTAACACTGTTTTTTATATAAATATATATAGAAAGATTGAGAAATTGAAAGCTGAAGCTACCATGGAAAGGAATGACTTTGCATCTCTTATAGAGGGGATGGAAGACCAAGCAAATGGTATGTATGTGTGAACTCTTTACTTACACACATCTCTTGTGTATAATTTATTATAACAAATATTCATTAATATATGACTTGACCTGAAGAAGGACAGATGCAGGTAATTGCACATGTTGATCTCTGACTGTTTAGGTTTCTTTAGTGCAGATCTATGGAGCCGCTGTACATAATCACAATGGTAAACATTATTTTCCACATACTGTACATTATTGTTTCTCCTCTATGCCCCGCCTTTCTGAAACGTGTCGATTTTTACAAAGCTCATCGTTCTGAAAAAGCGTGGTGTGCTCTGATTGACCAGCTATCCAGTGTGTTGTGATTGGCCGAATACCTCAACCGTGAGACGGAAATGTAATAAAAAAACTTTTATCTGACATTTTATGTTATAAGTTGATCTATGTTATGAGAAATGTGATCTGCTAGTCTTGACTGTATGATTTTCAATCATCCAAGGTTTAGTTGATGTTGGTAACACTTTTTAATGTATACTGTATTGTGGCTAATAGTTGTGCATTACAAGGCATTTGTGTCATCTAATCATCTTTAAATTTATGAAATTGAGATTTAGAACATTTTGTTGTGCCTCTGTGCATGCATTGTTCTCTACCCTGACAACCCATTGCCTCCAATAGTGTATTTGTTTCATACTATGGAAGTCATGGAGGCCCAGCAACTGTCTGATTACCAGTATTGTTCCAAATTATTTTAAACTCCAACACTACTTTGGCACTTTTCACTGGGCATTGGCCAATCTGTTTCTGCATCTGTGTATGGAGTAACTTTGTGATCTTGTAAGCTTTTTTTTTTTTGCATCTTTGGGTTCTCTTCAAATGACTATGAAGTACTGCAGTGATGACATATTTTTGTAGACCAACCCAAAATCACCCTGATCCTTCAACATTAACCCAATAGGAGTTTCCATTGGCTTTATTTTTTTTGCAGAGAAAAAGGTCTGTGACCAACAAAAGATTATTATTCTTACACATTTTGTTCATCATGACAATCTTCACAAATGAACACAGCTGAATCATTAATATTGAAGCCTAAATACAATCGCCAAGACAGAAGTAAAAAGCGAAAGTTAAACTACACCACAGTCACATGCAGGGGTGTACTCTCATGCACTCATTATTTTTGAGGGGGCACGAGTTGGGGGGGGGGGGGGGGC